GAGTCACCATCCCTGGATGTATTTAAAGAGCGGGTAGATGAGGTACTTAAGGATATGGTTTAGGGGGTAGACAGGAGCGGTTGGACATGATGTTCTCAGAGGTCTTTTCCAACCAAGCGATTCTGTGATTCTGTGTGATTCTGTGACATGGTGGGATGGCTCCTATGACTAGAGCGTTGTAATGGAAGAAGACAGGCTCTTTAGGAAGGACAAACAGGGGAAACAAGGAGGGAGTGTCACCGTCTGTGTCAATGATCAGGTGGAGTGTGTGTAGCCCCACCTGGGGATAGATGAGGAGCTAACTGAGAGCTTATGGGTCACAATCAAAGGAGGGCAGGAACAGGTAACATTATAGTGGAGGTCCGCTACCGGCCACCCGACCACAAAGACTGAGTGGATGAGGCCCTCTGTAGGCAGATAGAAGCAGTCTCATATTCACAAGCCCTGGTTACCTGGGATATGGAGAAGGCTGAGGTATTCAATGACTTTTTTGCCTCAGTCTTCACTGGCAAGTGCTCAAGCCACATCACTCAAGTCACAGAAAGAAAAGGCAGGGACTGGGAGAATGAAGAACGGCGCACTGTAGGGGAAGATCAGGTTTGACACCATCTAAGAAACCTGATGGTGCACAGGTCTATGGGACCTGATAAGATGCATCTGCGGGTCCTGGCGGAACTGGCAGATGAAGTTGTTCAACCACTGTCTATCATATTTGAGAAACTGTGGCAGTCCAGTGAAGTTTCCAATGACTGGAAAAGTGGAAACATAACCCCCATTTTATAAAGGGAAAAAAGGAAAGACCCATGGAACAACAGACCAGTCAGTCTCACCTCTATGGCCAGCAAGATCATGGAGCAGATCGTCCTGGAAACTACACTAAGACATATGGAAAATAAGGATGTGATTGGTGACAGTCAACACAGCTTCACTAAGGAAAAATCATCTCTGACAAATTTAGTGGCCTTCTGCAGCAGGGTTATAGCATTGGTGGATAAGGGAAGAAAAATTGTCGTAATCTACCAGGACTTGTGTAAAGCATTTGAGACTGTCCCGCACAACATCCTTGTCTCTAAATTGGAGAGACATGGATTTGATGGATGAAGCACTCAGTAGATAAAGAATTGACCGGATGGTCGCACTCAGAGTTGTGATTGATGGCTCAATGTTCAAGTGGAGACCAGTGAATGAATGGTGTTCCTCAGGGATCGGTACTGGGACCAGCGCTGTTTAACATCTTTGTCAGCAACATGGGCAGTGGCATTGAGTGCACCCTCAGCAAGTCTGCCAACACCACCAAGCTGTGTGGTGCAGTCAACACACTGGAGGGAAGGGTTACCATCCAGAGGCATCCAGACAAGCCTGAGAGGTGGTCCATTTGAACCTCATCAAGTTCAACAAGGCCAAGAGCAAGGTCCTGCACTTGGGTCAGGACAATCCCAAGAAAGCAGGAAGACGACTTGGCATCAAGTTCAACAAAGGAGGAAGTAAAACCAACACTGCTAATAATCCAATAGACAAGCTTCTCCAAATAGTTTAAAACACAGTGTCTAAGAAAATAGATACTGTTTAAGAGATAATATACATGTATTATCCCAAGCACAGATGCAGGTTGGGTGGAGAGTAGATGGCTGAGGGCAGCCCTGAGAAGAAGGACTTGGAGGTCCTGGTTGGTGAGAAGCTCAACATGAGCTGACAGTGTGTGCTTGCAACCCAGAAAGCCAACCATATCCTGGGCTACATCAAAAGAAGAGTGGCCAGCAGCTCGATGGAGATGTTTCTGCCCCTTTACTCCATTCTGGTGAGACCCTACCTGGAGTATTCTGTCCAGATTTGGGGTCTCCAGCACAGGAAAGACATGGATCTGTTGCAGTGAGTCCAGAGGAGGGCCACAAAAATTATCAGAGGGATGGAACACCTCTCCTACAAAGAAAGGCTGAGAGTGTTGGGGTTGTTCAGCCTGGAGAAGAGAAGGCTCCAGAGACACCTGACTGCAGCCTCCCAGTACTTAAAGGGGGCTAATAGGAAAGATAGGGACAAACTTTTTAGCAGGGCCTGTTGCGACAGGACAAGGGGTAACAGTTTTAAACTAAAAGAGGGTAGATTTAGATTAGATATAAGGAAGAAATATTTTTCACTGAGAGTAGAGAGACACTGGAACAGATTGCCTAGAGAGGTGGTAGAGGCCCCATCCCTGGAAGTGTTCAAGGCCAGTTTGGATGGGGCTTCGAGCAACTTGCTCTAGTGGAAGGTGTCCCTGTCCATGGCAGGGGGTTGGACTAGATTATCTTTAAGGTCTCCTCCAACCCAAACCAATCTATGACTCTATGATGATTCCGTGAGGATTCCATGATTTTGAACACAACACAGGGCAGAAATGTTCCCCAATATCAGGCAGGTTTTCTTGAAGGGAAAGTTGTTAGATCTGTCAAGAAAAGGATAACACCACAAACAGTGTAATACAGTTTTAAGTGGTAAAGGCTTACTCAATCTTTTTTTTTAATGAATTGTGAGCTGATAGTACCTTTGGTACATACACTTCCTTCCTCATTCTGTTTAACAGAACACCATCCATTAATAAAATTTCCTTCTTTTTAAATATCTTCTAATTTCAGTGAACTACTGTTATCTTTGAGAAACTAAAAGCTACCAAACACTTTGGAAAGACAAATCTTTCTAAAACTGTGAATTTATAACAGTTACTTTATTCTCATTCCATATTTTTCTGGCTATCTGATTGCAGCCCTTCTATAATAAGTGCCACCTTGAAATTGTGATCTTAGAAAGTGAACACATGAACCTAAAAAGAGCGAAAGGTGTTCACCAACCTTATCCGTGTGGAACACCGGAAGCAAGATTCTCAGAGTCCAAAAATTTCTTTGAATGAAGAATATTCTAACTTGCAGCAGCTCTGGTTTAACAGTGAATGGGATAACAGGAACACACAGGAAAAGATTCATTTTAGATCAGGGTTCTTTACTCATAGGCAAAATACAATACAGTTTATTTACCTTCGAAATGTTCTCTTTATTAATAGATTAAACTTGTGAAACACACCG